TTCCAATTCTAAAAGCTTCTTGAAAGATATTTTGTCCTGGGGGAAAAATATTGTAGAATTGTAGGCAACTTAGGTTAGATTTTCCTCATGAATCTAATCAGCCTAAGGCAGAAGAAAATATGTTTTGGAGATGCTTGAAAGAATGGGAACATTACAGGAGAAATCTGGAGCTAGGATCAAGAGTTTCATGAACATGGACTAGGGAAGACTTGTTTATTTCAATAAAGCAGAATAAAGAGGAGTTCTGAGAAGAACCATGAGAAAATCCTAGTCGAACAGTTTATTTCAGAAAGTGTGCGTCCCTGCAGACAGGAATGAAGCATGGACAGAAATTCCATGGTTACCTGCTCAGACCTTAACCGAGATCCAGTTCTAGAGACAGAGCAGTGTGGGCTTCTGTGAGGAAGGAAACATGCAGTTTGCTTGCCAAGTCACAACGCTAGCTTTACAACAGGCTTGTGTTTAAAACCCATGACAGCTGGAAGTGGAAAAATCAGCCAAAAAATTAACAGCTTTTGCTGCCTGCTGCCAGCTTCCAGGCACGAGAACCGCCTGGTCCCTTTGTTGGCTCTGCAAATGCTGTGGCCTGTGGTGACTATAATGCACTTTCTTGCAAAGTACATCTATGGCTGTCTTTGTGCAAAGGTATCACAGCATGGGCTGTGATGTGGTTTTAGTACTCATATGGAAGTGTATAGGCCTTAATATTTTCCCAGCACTGCTTGCTTCCCAAGGTGGTAGAGGAGCCCCTGGTTAGAGGGAGGAAAATTTGAATGCAGCAGCTGACAGTGAGTGGTTCAACCTCACCTGCATTTCTCCTTGAGCCAGGGAGCTGCTGGTGCTTACACAGTCTATGTGTGGTTACCAGGCTCCCTGCCAACATGTTAATGTTAATGGCCAACATGTTCTTATTCCAGGATATGGTTGCTGCTGAGGGAGTTGGCCTTGGATATGTTTAAGTGATGTAGAAAAAATGATCTTGGTATCTCTAGAGTGCGCAGGATCTTGTACAGAAGTTGCTGGCTTGGAGAGGAGTTAAATCCTAGAAGGAAACCAAGCAATGGTTTTTCTGAGAGTAGGACTATCTGAGCTGTTGCACTTGAGTTCAGCCTGGTGCTAGACCAGACTGCTGAGCCTGCTACTGTCTCTTCTCACATGGCCACGGAGAAATCTATGTGTGAGAGGGAGCCTTGGTGAGCTGCTTGGGGGCAGAATAACTCTTGTAGAGGATTAATAGGGCTAACACATGAGGACTTGAGCTTCAGGAGAGAAGTGAAAAGTTGGATAGTCAATAGTTGGAATAAGTCTGAATGGTTCAGATAATTTGTATCAGAATGATGACAAAATCAGAAAACTATAGCTAAAAAGTGATTAATAGTTTCAACAGACTAAGATAATTCCAAAATTAAGGAAAAAAAAAAAAAAAAACACACCTTTTTATTATAATTATTTTGTTTCCATAAAAGTTGTTAGTCATTTTGTTTATAGAATCAGATATTCATGGAAATAGCAGAAAATAATCATAGAATCATAGAATCATAGAATATCCTGAGTTGGAAGGGACCCTTAAGGATCATCAAGTCCAACTCTTGACAGCGCACAGGTCTACCCAAGTTCAGACCATGTGACTAAGTGCACAGTCCAATCTCTTCTTAAATTCAGTCAGGCTCGGTGCAGTGACCACTTCCCTGGGGAGCCTGTTCCAGTGTGCAACCACTCTCTCTGTGAAGAACCCCTTCCTGATGTCCAGCCTAAACTTCCCCTGCCTCAGCTTAACTCCATTCCCGCGGGTCCTGTCGCAGGTGTTAATGGAGAAAAGGTCTCCTGCCTCTCGACACCCCCTTACGAGGAAGTTGTAGACTGCGATGAGGTCTCCCCTCAGCCTCCTCTTCTCCAGGCTGAACAGGCCCAGTGCCCTCAGCCGTTCCTCGTACGTCTTCCCCTCCAGGCCTTTCACCATCTTCGTAGCCCTCCTCTGGACACTCTCCAACAGTTTCATGTCCTTTTTATACTGTGGTGCCCAGAACTGCACACAGTACTCGAGGTGAGGCCGCACCAGCGCAGAGTAGAGCGGGACAATCACCTCCCTTGACCTACTAGCGATGCCGTGCTTGATGCACCCCAGGACACGGTTGGCCCTCCTGGCTGCCAGGGCACACTGCCGGCTCATATTCAACTTGCTGTCTACCATGACCCCCAGATCCCTCTCTTCTAGGCTGCTCTCCAGCGTCTCATCGCCCAGTCTGTACGTGCAGCCAGGGTTTCCCCGTCCCAGGTGCAGGACCCGGCACTTGCTCTTATTGAACTTCATGCGGTTGGCGATCGCCCAGCTCTCCAACCTATCCAGATCCCTCTGCAAGGCCTTTCCACCCTCATTCGAGTCCACAACTCCTCCAAGTTTGGTGTCATCAGCAAACTTGCTCAAAATGCCTTCTATTCCTACATCCAGATCGTTTATAAAAATATTGAAAAGTACCGGCCCTAAAATGGAGCCTTGAGGGACCCCACTGGTGACCGCCCGCCAGCATGACGCAGCCCCATTCACCATAACCCTTTGGGCCCTGCCCGTTAGCCAATTGCTCACCCATCGTATGATGTTTTTATTTAGCTGTATGCTGGACATTTTGTCCAGTAGGATCCTATGGGAAACCGTGTCAAAAGCCTTGCTGAAGTCCAAAAAAATCACATCAGCTGGTTTCCCTTGGTCTACCATACGGGTGATCTTATCATAAAAGGAAATCAGGTTAGTTAGGCAGGACCTACCCTTCACAAACCCATGCTGGCTGGGACCAATGACTGCTTTGTCCCCCAGGTGCGCCTCAATACGTTCGAGAACCATCTTTTCCATGATTTTACCAGGCACTGATGTGAGACTGACAGGCCTGTAATTGCTAGGGTCTTCTTTCTGACCCTTCTTGAAAATCGGCACAACATTTGCCAGCTTCCAGTCTACCGGGACCTCTCCAGACTCCCAGGATCGTTGAAAAATAATTGAGAGAGGTTCCGCGATGACGTCCGCCAGCTCCTTCAGCACCCGGGGATGAATCCCATCCGGACCCATGGACTTGTAGGGATCCAGGTGGAGTAGCAGATCCCGCACACGTTCAGGGTCAGTTGGGAGTTTGTCATCCCCACCGTCCCGGTCCTCCAGCTCGGGGCACTCTGGGTCCCGAAGCCCATCATCAGCATTGAAGACAGAGGCAAAGAAGGCGTTAAGCGTCTCTGCTTTGCCTATGTCATCGTCTGTGAGAAGACCTTCCCTGTCAAGGAGCGGCCCTATATATTCTTTAGTTCTCCTTTTTCCATTCACATATCTAAAAAAACCCTTTTTATTTTCTCTCACAGACACAGCCAGCTTCAACTCTAGGTGTGCTTTAGCCACACGAATTTTCTTCCTACAGACACGAGCAGCATCCCTGTATTCTTTCCATGTCACCCGGCCCTCCTTCCAGTAGCGAAACACTCTCTGTTTCCGCCTAATCTCCGTAAGAATGTTCCTGTTCAGCCACGCTGGCCTCCTGCCGCGCCTGCCTGACTTGCGGTATTTAGGAATTGCCTGTTCTTGTGCTTCTAGGAGGCATCGCTTAAAGAGTGACCAGCACTGGTGGACATCAAGGCCTTCAAGAGCAGCTTCCCAGGGGACCTTGCTGACTAGTTCCCCGAGCAGCCTGAAGTCCGCCTTCCCCATATCTAGGGATGAGGTCTTGGTGGAGGAGCTGTGATTGCTACATAATGGAGGAGCTGTGATTGCTACATAATCCCCTAACCTTGCAGAAGATGGTGTTTTTATAAAACATGGTGGAACCACTCACCAGTTCACCAGAGTTGGCAAGTTGACAATGCTGCAGACTATAATACTGTACTATTGCATGACCAGACCATATAGTACTATGCAGGAGAGAGGGGAACCACTTGGACAGGACCCGATGGGTTAATTGCAACTAGTTCCAAGAATATGGGAAAGTTCCTTTCTATTTTTGGCACCAAAGAACTGCCAGATGTGGAGGTCTCGTGTCCTGAAGATGCTGAAGGGACCCATGACTCTTGAACCACTACCATCTGGAAATTTTATTAATCTCAGTAGCTCAGTATATCAGTTGTGTTTTGGAAACATAGCAATCTGTCCAAACATTGAATAAGCCAATAAACTCAATTCTGAGCCACTGCCTCACAGCTTACATTCTCATAACACAGAAACGGTATTTAAAAAAGAATCCACTAATTTTGTTAAAGAAATAGTTTTCAGTAAAGAAAAAATCTCCAAGTAGAAACTTATACATTGCCGAATCATGCAGACACAGCAAAGTTTGCATTGCCATGGAAACAAAGCTAAAGATGGTTTATGCTGTGAAAAACAGCTTGCAAGTGCCTGTGAAAAGTTTATAAAAATCACACCTTTTCAATTGATCTTGAAAGACATGATGTAACACACGTATCTTGGGTTTGAAGGCTGTTTTTATTTATTTATTTATTTATTTTTCACCAAGACAAGATACTTTCACCTCTGTTCTTACAAATCTGACATCAAAAACTATCAGCTTACATATATGAGCTATACATCTGCCAGTACACAGTTATACTCCTCCTTTAAGAAAAACAAGAATGGTCCCTTCCATGCCCATCTAATATAAGAACCTCTAAGTCAGGATAGAATATTGATCATAATACATTTTCTATGAGCCTAGCTATTTGTAAAACAGTTTTAAAATCTAGTACCTAATGTTTAAACAAAACATACTTTATACATTTGGCTAAGCTGAAATATCATACCTTGCCAAATGAAAAAAAATGTTTTCTAACCATAGTTTTCCTAGCAGCTCTGTAGGTATGTAAGGCATGCAGTTCATTTCCTGCCAAGGCTGAGAAAAATGGGTAGGTCTGAGACAATATTGCTAGTGTACTTGAAAAATATTTTAGCTGTTAACGTTGTAGCTGACTGTGTGTATATATTTTGTCTCTTGGTCTCTGAGAAAATTTCCCAGGTACAACTTTGGGTCTGACTCCATTTTAGCTGTCAATTTCATCAGAGGTCTCAACAGAATTTTCCAGAGCATTACAGTCGTCAGTGAGGAACACCAAGTCCTGGAGAAACAAAAGAGATGGCTAATGTCATAAGGAGAAACACAGAAGATAATGTAAGTTTGAGAAACTCAGGCCCTAATCAACCTTTGCTGAAGTCAGGGGATGGGATGGAGATGGAGGGAGGTAAAAGCTATGTTCCTGTTGATGCATCCTGACTTACCCTTCTGCAGTAGGAGATCATAATGGTGTACAAGCTACGGGCTTTTTCCTTCAGATCACTCACTTCAATCACTCTCTCACATCTGGGGTAGGCCACAAAATCACGGAGTTTTGTCAGCACACAGTAATTCTGCAAAACATGCAGAAGAAGTACTTGTAACAGCACACAAATGAAGATTTATGTTCCTGGTCCACCACTTTCAAAATTCTTATTGCCTCTCTGCCTTGAATTCCTGTCTTTGTGTATGTGTAATCTATGTAACTGTTAGTGAGGAAAATTTACCATCGATATTTCATAACAAAGACGCTTGGTCCAAATAAGTGCTCAGAAAATTTCACAAGTACAGTTTTGGTCTGCCAACTTCTTTCTCATGTGCTTTAGGAGACAGATGTGCCAATACAATCACATATGCTCCTGCAGTTGGTGGGAACCTGCAGTATAGGTGCACTACGTTCCTTTTATGAAAGTGCCTCATTTAGCTGGTGAACAAGACTATCAAGGTCTTACACACAATTCCTCAGTTCCCATACAATATGGTGAGCACCAGACAGAATTTTTCTGAGTAAAAATTTTCAAATTTTTACTACATATCTTGCATTATTAAAATAAAACAGAGAAAATATTAATTTTGTAGTGTCTTTGTAAAGCAGGTAGATAAATATTCCATCTTTTATTTTAAAGCAAAGGAAACCAAGGCACATTGCTTTGCAATGTTGCAATGAGGAGAAGCATTGGCAGCTCCAGAGTTAGGATCTGAATTTTACTGACTTGCAAGACTTGACAGAGTAATTGTCTCCAACAAAACATGTCAGGGATTTTTTTTTTTTTTACCTTTTAGTTATTCAGCAGAGCATGGAAAATAGCAACAAAGTATGTCAGATATCACAGATAGAAACTACATATGCAGGAGACTATTTTGTCTTTGCTGGGAGATGATATCGATGTCTTTTCTCAGTATTTAACTTTCATATCCTCAAGACTACATTTTCTTTCTGGATTCAACAAGTGGCTGTTTAAAACAGGAAAAGCACGCAAAGTATCCGTACCCTTCTGTTAATTAAACCTGCAGGCTAGAAGCTACATATAATATAAAATAAAGTAGGTATATTAAAAGAAAAAAAATATTCTGCATTCTGTCTTTTAAACTATTATTCCAAACTTTGTTGTGCATATTTAACTTCTGAAAATTTTCTGTCACAATAAATAATGTATAAATGATAATCACTTCAAAATATTGATTTCCTCATTTTTGAATTTTTAAACAAGTAAAATCTCTGAAACTCCATAGGGATTTTCATAAGATTCAAAATGATTTTTTTTTTTTTTTTAGTGACTCATCTTTCTAGTTAATTAAGCTTTTAAAAATTAGTTTCAGACTACTCTTCTGGGGCACAAGCTTAAGAGTTATGCTCTCTTCTAAGAGTTATTAGCTGTTTCTCCTGCACAGCGGTAAGACAGAAATGTGAAAACTTACATGGATGTCCAAGTACAGCCTGGGCAGCGTCTCCACACATGGGTCCTGCAGGAAAGAGGAAAGACCTGTTGCAATTCTGTTTTGAACGCAGCTTGTATCAAAAGCAAGCAACCTACAGTGTCTTAGCAGGAACAGTTTTTATATATACTCACCACATCCTTGGAGGTCTGCAACGCCTTAAAAGACTCTGTGATTTCTTTGCTCAGAGACAACACCCTGGAGTAGCAAGTTGGAGGGGCTGCATGGGCTAGCAGGGCAGCAGAGAGCAGAGCGATCAGGCTCAGCAGCATCTTCATTGTGGCAAGCTTGTCCAAAGAAGGAGGAAGGGAGGAAAAAATCACCGTTAGTGGTTAGGCAGCTACTGGTAAGCGTCAATGGGAGAGTTTGACAAGTCAGCCCTCAATTAAATAGTCTCCTGTATCAATGGAAAAAAAAAAAAAAGTCTGGGGGTGGTCCGAGGAGCAGCTTACTGCTGTTTTAAATTTCCTGCCAACCTATGAAGCAAGGCTGCTAGCACTTTCCTGCCCGGGAGCAGGGTAAGGAGGGAACAAGGATAACAAAAACAAACACTACTGGCACACTGCATTCCAGAAAGAAAATAACCAAATGAACATCTCAAGCAAGAGAAATGTGTAAGAAACAGCATGGGGTTAGCAAAGGGCCATAGGCCTCGATCCTGTATGTGTTTTGGCACATAAGTCTCTTTCTTGAAAACATAATGTACAGCTGTGGGACTTCATAGGCTGCTTATGAGAGGTATCCTTCCAGCACTGGTATCTTACACTGACAGTACTAATCAGTACTTAGCAGGTCTGAAATGTTGTTGCTATAAAGGAAACATCTCAGATTTTGTATCATTTCCCCTTTTTAACCTATGCAGCCACTCACTATTTCTAAATCAAAATAATAATGTTTGCTATGGCTGTTTGGGGAAACTTGTATATTTACACATTTGTGGTCTCAAATAGAATTAATACATCTCTGTATGGCTGTCATAAATGTAAATGTATAAACACCATTTTGCTTTCTCAGTTGGATTTATGAGTTTTCTTTCTTTTATTAGATTCGAGATGGAGCCAAGACATCCAGATGCTGGGATGCAGGCATGGGGCTGAACATATGTTGTTATACATGTATATTAATTGTCCTGCAAAAAGGGGCTACCTTTGAATGAAGAACTGTTTATTTCACAAGTTATCCTCCCCTATCTTCCCCAACCCCCACAAAAAGTCAGCAAAATTCAACATCTTTCAAATTCATGTTCTAGCTTGGTATAAACCAAAATATGGAAGTGTCTGATAGAGGATATATTCCCTTGGAATTGAAGTAGTCCTGCAAGGTTCATCCGAAGACAGAAGGAGAAATGACAGTATACCAGTAAGAGAAAAGGGTTTTCCACCAGCCATTTTTGGAGAGATCGGAGTCTTGAAAGCAAGCTTTGTGAAAAGAATTCTGTATTTTGCAGAGGACTCTGACTGAAATCCCCCCAAATACCTGGAGGAAACAGGGAAATAGAGCTGCATTGTACTATCTTGTAATACATTTCTTTGCTTTTATAAAGGATGATTTGTTGAGTAACATCATACTTCTGAAGGGCAACGTGATAAATACCCAGTGAAGAAAGAAATATTTCATTTGTTGGGAGTCCTGGCAGTGGGGACTTTAGGACTGCTCTTGGTAAATGAGCTGTTGGGTGTTATTTTCAGGAAAGGGAGTTGCTTAAACAAGTGAGTTAAGAGGTGAGAGGAAGACATAAAACCTGTCTTTGAAAACAAGATGACCCAAAGCAGTTGGATCATAGATCTGAACACAGTTACCTACTGCATGCCCAAGGAAAGGATGCTTCTTTGCATGAGTGTTGCCCATAAAGAAACAGGCTCTTAATCTCCATCTCATTACTGTAAACAGTAGCAGAAGCTAGTGGTGAAATATTATCCTTCTATCTCTTTCTCATTTGGCAAGTTGCTAAAATGTAGCCACTCTGCCAGAAGAGCAGTCTTCTGAGCAGCATAAATGCTCTCTCAGTACAAAAAGTCAGCAATCCAACTGCTGTTCAGGGTGTCTTCAAAATGAAGCATTTCCTTCTTTCTTCATTTATTTTTACTGTGAGCATTATTCTCTCTCCTGATATTGTACCTATGCTAAGCCTATGGGGATTATTTCATTTGAAACCACAGTGAAATACTGTGGATTGTGTTCTAACAGTGGTATCTGAGTGCCTGTGACAAGCCTGGCCTCATGGCCACTTTCTCTGGAGTCATATGCCATCTAAACTATCATCCAAGTCCTGCATATTTGCCAGATTCAGGCAGATGAAAGCTGTTTAAAAGCCCCTTTCTTTAGGGTGGGCTAATGTTAAAGTTGCCAACAGTGTTTTGGAATTACTTTATAAACTGAGCTATACATTGGTTGCCTAGGGTGAGAGAGGTGAGCATTTAGCATCCTGTGGCCTAACACAATACCCTGTCTCCCAAGCTGGGGTGCAAGCCCCATGCCACAAAAATCTCACCCAGTGGTCACATCCATGGAAGCCTGACATAAGTGCTGAATGGCACATGTTGCAGTCAGATCACTCAGCTCCAAGACATCCAGAGGAGGAAAAGCCCAGCTCTTACATAGCACTAAGGGCTTATGATTTTTGTCCCAAAGAATGATCCTGTTCTGAGGTAGCCACAAAGGGAAGGGAGAGGAAAGGTCTATCACCCACCACAGGTGCAGCTTGCATACCCATTATGATCCTTTTCTTGAGAGATGAGATTTCCTCAGCCCCATGCACTTGTAGAGATGCTTCGCTACTAGCAGGCAAGGAAATCATCCACCCACCAAGGCTTCTTCTGCAGAATGAGGAAATATGACTTGCTGAGCTACCAAGATATTGGTCCAGAAAGCAAAGCAAAGGATGGATCCAGACGTTACCAAAATGTTTAACCAAAAAAAAAAAAAAAAAAAAAAAGTTTCTCTGCTTTGTGGAGGGGCAAAATTGCTGGATCAATTTGTTCTGAAGTTTTTGCTCAGCTACAGCATCTTTATATTCAGAAATATTAGGGAGAGACTTTTTTTTTTTTATTATTATTCTTTCAGAAAAGAGCTATAAAAGAAGGACTACAGTTTAATATCCTCACCTAAATCTTCCCTTCTCTGGGCCAAATTTCGTGCATAGTTGATTCTGACCCAGATGGATATTTTCCATGTCTCCTAGCTCATCAGCACTTCTGTTGCTGAATATGCAATTCAATTCAAAAATTGCAAAATTTCTTCTCAGTTCTTCTATTTGTAGCTTATCAGCTTATTCCTGAGCTCTGAATATGTTCAGTTTATGGTCCACATATGGGCAAGTAACCTCTCAAGAAGCTCATGACATCAAGAGAAATCACTAGTGACACCAGGCATTGGGAGTCTTTCAGTCTATGGCACCTGATACAACTCTGAACCAGATATGCAGTTACTAAATGCCTTGAAATTCCTGACACTCTTTGTGGTGACTGTTTTTATCCTGTCACTTATGAAAAGTCACTTATTAATTCTTGTGCATATCCTGCCTTGGGCAGAAAAGATCCTTAATGGGGAGACACAAGCTGTTCTTCACAAATGCTAATATGATCTGAGAGGGGATATGCAAAATGGACATGGAAATAGCCCCAAAAGCTACAGTACAGGAAGGGACAAAGTTCAAAATATATTATAATTAAAACTCTCCTCAGGATTGCATCTATGGGGAAGCTTCTATTTACAGCCCTTCTAGTTTGTGGGGTGATGTCCAGGCTAGCATGAGAAGGGAGCACAGCAGGAGGAAACCAGTACCACCATATCTGGGATGACCATCACAACATGGACATCTCCACCACGGACATAATTTACCATACTCCTCCTACACAAAAGCTCTGAAGGCTGAGAACACACTCATACTTTCTGAGTTTAATGTCAGCTCATGAAGCTGATGATGTCACCACAGCTTTTGAGAGCTATTTACAGTGCATTTATTTACTCTTTTTTTTTACAAGGAATATTCCACAGCAAAAACAGAGACACAGGCTAAGAGGGAAACTAGAAGCCTATCATGACATAACTGTACACTTTTTTTTTTTTTTTAATTTTTGAGCTGTGTTGTTCTCTTACTTCCAGGTTACTGAGAGCTCAAACAATAATATTTTTCTAAAAGTCAAAGGACTCACTATGCAGTCAGAAATTCCTCCTGTGTTTGAACAGTGTACCCGGGCCTCCACCAACTTTTGACAAAAGCTCTTTCAAGTTACTGCCTTCCTAATACCAAAATCCACTTGTTTAATGAAAATGTTTATTTTAAAATAGTTGGGGTTGCCATGAGACACTTCATGAAACCGGCTTCTGATTATATTGAAAAATAGGAAAAGAAAAGCAAAACAGTGCTTTACAGAGAAAGCCTTGTGTGTATTTAGGAAGTGATTCAAAGCCCATGGCTCAGCTTGCTGTTGTGGTAAAGGTGCCACTTGCTTCAGAGCAGAGCTGAACTGCCACGTGAGCTTCCAGCTCAGCACAAAAGAGGTGTTCACAGCCTTCTGGGAAGGCCTAGCACTTTGGCTAAGACCCTGTCTTGTTTTTGTCACTGTTGCCTGTGCATTATCCATATTGCACTTTGTAGAGTCTCGTTGTAGACATCAGCACAGAATTTGGGATATGGGTTGTGCAGCCTCACACATTGCCCTGCTGCAGGTAGCAAGATGCATAGAGCAGCACAGTGTGACCACATTTTAAGCTGGGATGATTCAACGTGTCTCCTTCAGGCAAGAAACTCTTCCCTACAGGCAGCTCGAGTAGCTCAGCCAAGCTGCAGGTGAAGGACAAGGCAGGCAGGACCTCAGTGCTGCTTCTGGCCTGGTGCTGCAACACTAATTCTCTGTAGTTGCTAAGCACAAGTCCTCTTTGTTCATTCAGTGGTATGGGCTTCTTTTTTCTATACAGATATTATTTTTCAAAATGTACATGTATATTGAGGAAACAGATCCCAAAGCCTGTTCTTGGGCAAAGAAACATTGCATTAGAGCAGGGCTGGGGCAGTAAGCTCCTGCTGTCCCTTGGGTGCAATGTCAGCACGGTTCCCAGGATGTCCCAGAGATGTCCTCCTGAGCTGCTGTCACGGCAGTACAGTCATCACCTGGGCTTGTCTGGGTCCCTGCTCCTGCCTGTGTAATAGGGATGATGGCACTTCCCTGGGAGGCTGTGAGAATGTGGCCATTAATGACAGGGAGACAGGAGATTATGTGGTTTTAGCCCTGCCAACAATACTCTTTTCAGTGACTGCAAGGCTTGTTGATTCAAGTAGCACAGGATTTAGAGCCTTAAGCCTTCACTGCCTTGCTAAGAAAAAGCCAGTTTTACCTCTAAGTGGCTTACAGGCATCTCCAGTGCAATAACAGGGATGCTTTCAGCAGCAGAGCATGCCTCTGCCTCCATCTGGGTTTTGATGTGTGACCCATCCTAAATTACAACCTCAGAAGCAGGATGTTGGGAAGAAACCCTTGTTCAGATTTAGAGCAATGTTCAGCAGTAAAAGCAAGTTATTCATGCTTTTCTTCTCTACCCTTCCCTTCTTACCCTTTTCTCTCCACTTACACATGCAAATGTGGTAGATGGCTCTAGGTCTTATCATTGCTGGTCAACATTCCGCCCTCCCTAATTACACTTGCAATGAAAAATGATGTCAGCTGGCAAGGAATGCATCAAAAGCCACGTGACTAAGCATATTCATCTACTAAATTTATCTGCCATACCAACCCACTGGGGAATCCCAGGGCTGAAGCAAGACAAGGTCTGAGCTATCTGTTCTCAGAGAGAGTTCCTCCAAGGAGCTCTTGTCTATGACATGGTTAATCTGTGAGGAAATGAAGGACTTGTTTTTCAAGGACTGGTATTCCTGCACCTTTCAGAAGCATTATGTTGCTAGAAGAAAATAAATGGATGAGACCAAAAGTGCAGCCCTTACAGGAATACAGGAATCCAAAGAGATTTCTCTGCTGAGCTACAGCCTGCACAGGAGCATTTCAGTAGCTCCTTAGCATGCTGGCACACTCAGTTTTCTATTTATTCTTGCCTAGAAACCTGCAAACGTCAAAGCTTATGTTGTTGTGTGTATTTCTAGACAAAAACAACAGCTCTTCCAGCAGACTAGCACAACTGCAAGGTAAAATAAATTCTTGTCTCAGCTGGCTGAGAAGGTAAAGCATGGGTCCCTATAATACAATGTGTCTCCATAGCGCTTTCATTTCTGTACAGCGCTTTTCACATTTTATGGTTAAGTATAATGGAAGAAATCCTTCCCTCACCAAAATCAATGACACAAGTCTCAGACTCCTTCAGATGCGCAATCTCACCCTATATTTAAACTTACATTTGTTCCATCAGATGCATTATTTCTCCTTTCTCACAGAAAGCATTACCTTTCAGAGTTCTGTCTGTTGGAGATATGACACAGTTCAAAGCCATCTTTGTCAGTGCCCTAAAACCAAACAACATGGCAAATACGCTGTACAGCTGTAAATACTCTTCTGTGGCACAGAAATATATAAATAATGTGATATTGCTGATGACCTGCTCTATTTGGTAAAATCTAGAAGCGATAAAAATAAATGGAGTTTCATTCTGTTTAAGAAAATTACTAAACTTATTAATCACTATATTTATGTTTTGTCATCTTGCCTTGAAAGAA